CCCTCTTTCGCCCTGTTCTCTCCCGCCCGTCAGCTGAACCCGTCTTTAGCAGGGGCCGTCCAGCGTTCTCACCTGTCCTCGCGTCCTCTGTCGTCCTTCTCACCTGTCCTCGCGTCCTCTGTCGTCTTCCGTGCCGGGCCCTCCAGCCGTCGTCTGCCGTCTCTGAGGCCGCCGTCCGCGGCTCGGCGGTGCGGCCGCCAGTCTCACGTCATTAGGGAATAATTAGCTGCGCCGGCCATTAGCGGCGGCGCTCACAGTCGGCGCGTCCGCCATCCTTTGATGCGCCCCAGCGCACCTGTTGGTCTTGGGAGAGCCGGCGGCGCTCGGCGCAGGAATTCGGTGTCATCGGTCCGGCTGGCCAAGGTGAGGGGATAATAGAGTCTGCCACCGCGTCCGTCCAACCCTACCCGCACCGTGCGTCCGGCCTGGAGGCCGTGAAATAGCTTACCCCTGTGTAGTGCACAGTGTGGGGTGGATTGTAATGGACATGGTTTCGTAAAAAAATGAACTAATAAATTGCTGTCCGACGTTTACAAGACTTGCTTTTCCAGCGGTTTAGGCTGGCTGGCTGCTGGAGAGTCTCAGAAGATGCGCTGCCTGAGAAGCTTTTAACTCAGCAAAATGCTTGCAGCTCCCCGGGAGATGCAATCTAAAACGCATTCTTGGCATATTTCGCGGGTACGTAACCAATTTACATAACTATACTTTTGGGGCAATCTACATTTATCTGGCGGGCTACATCAGCCTGCATCTAACCATAATTGCGATGCCACCCAGGTTGATGCATGCGTGTTAACAATTTGAGTCTTCTAACTGGCACGTTGCGCTGTACTGGATGAGGGCTCATGTGGGAAGTAAAACGCTAAAAACTCACGCTAAAACAACAATTTCAGTAGACGAAAGAACGTAACTCACAGGCCTACCCTGTACTTTGCGTGGAGTGGAACACCACGGTATTTACCTGCACTGGTATAGACAAGGAATGTGGATATTTTGCCACTGCTTGCACTCTTGGGTCACGTCTTAGAGCGGGAAACGTACATCTAACTTCGGATGCTTGACATTTAAACAAAACATCTAACTTTGGTGACCTCAACATCGTACCATTTAACTCGCTGAAAGACTGTTTGCCAAGACTTGTTTAGCTTACTTGCATCTTCGGGCTTCCGGCCAACTATATCTAAAACAACTAGAGTACCACATGGCAAATGCTCACTTTTAGATAATGTCTTCTGCAACATCATTAAGATTGTTTTTAACTCTAACATCATATATGAAGACTCATCTATTCACTTCCAGATATTTGTTTCTTGTACTCCTCTGTCAAGTTCAGCAAAGAAAGAAGTGTGCCATACAGCATTTAACAGGGAAAAAATCGTGGATACATCCCCGCATCTTACTGAGCATTTGACTCACCTCACAGAGCTCACACGCCCAGACATACCACATACAGTACTTGTCAATGCCTTTCACTCCGGCATAAATAAATATAGCATTAAAGTAAAATACACCCGAAAGAAGACACCCATTAACCATGGTTTCACCAAATCGTGGTCGTGATGCAACGCGGATCGGTCCTCGTCTCTGGAATTCTATTCTATCTCACCTAAACTGCCCATAACAGATGCTATTGAGGCAACAAAAAGCTGCAGTAAGATAGTGACAAACGGTCATTTTCTTAGAGAGCATAATTCTTCGTGATACATTAGGGGGACCATGTGGCTGTGTGTGTGTGTGTGTGTGTGTGTGTGTGTGTGTGTGTGTGTGTGTGTGTGTGTGTGTGTGTGTGTGTGTGTGTGTGTGTGTGTGTGTGTGTGTGTGTGTGTGTGTGTGTGTGTGTGTATGTGTGTATGTGTATCTGCGTGAGCGCGTGCGTGAGTGCCAAACGCTACTATGACTAAGGGTACGCTTTCACCCTGTAAATCGCGGCTCTGTATCTCGATCGGCCACCTGCAGCAAGATCGCTTAGTCTGGTGGGTAGCCAAAAAAGGAGCCTTGGACTTGCATCCCACGGACCATACCTTCGCTCTTCCCAGAATGAGTGGATGTTATTATCCTAATATCGTGTGAATGAGTTACTTTCCCAGCGGGCATTAGCGGCCAGTCGTATGCTGCCTTTGGATACGACCGCTACTTTACCTTCCTTGCTTATTCCCGCTAATGACTAGCATAACGTGCTGGTGGGCTCTGCAACATCGTTTTCTCATTTTTGTTTTTGCTTCCACCTCTTAACGTGGTGTGCCGCGACTTGCATTTATTGTTTTTGATGTTAATACAAGGTTCAGTGTGTCGCTGGGATTATGGAAGGGGCACTCCTGGTCGCCAAATGCTTGGACAGTATGTCAACAGACCATACTTGAAATATTTTTTATCCGGCTACAGCTATTCAGAAACTTTGTCTTCCGTTTACCGACGTCAAATTTACTTACCTCTAAAAAGCTATAGAAAATCTCGACAACTTGCCCCGGTGTCATACAGTATCGACTGACATGATCTATATTATGTATGATGCACGTTTTATATGTATATATAGTTTATTATATATCATCAATTATATAATAAATTATATATATATATATATATACACAGATATGTATGCACGTACTTCGAATCTTATAAATTCAGACCAATCATATGTATAGCCGCCGACGGCGGCCACCATATGACGTTATGCAGACCACTACCACGGCCATGTATCGTAGATATGTGGCCCCAATATGCACTATCCAATGTCCTCCTGTCCTAAATGTGATGGGTCGTATGTACTCCGAGCGCTTCTCCTCGGCGAAAGATGACCAATGTTAGCTGCCCATGCGCTAGTTCTGAACACCTACGACAGCCGGGAATCTCCTGCGTTGTAAAGCAACTCGTTAGTGAGGGTTCATAAAAAACGTTGCATTATTTTATGCTAGAAACTTTTTTTGTGGAATTTCCCACGAAAGAATATTGGAAAGCTCGGCAACCATTGAAACGTTTAACCATTGCAACGCCGCAACAATTGTGAGATGCAACTTAAGTTGTTCCTTCCGTGAACGGTAACAAACGAAACACGATCTCTTTTGGCTTACGGCGTTTTCCAAAGGCATACGCTGCCATAGTAGTGCAAAAGTATATTGACATTTCAGACACTGAGACATAAAATGGTGTGGGACAATGGTTGGGGTATCACCAGCATGCGCGCCGGAGATTCACAGCATCAGAATGCCAGTGCATTTATTGAGACACCACTTAGCGCACGGAGCACGTTTTATAAATGTCTTGGATTATTGTGTCAATCAGCAGCATGACAACGCGGCGCCGATATCGCACTTCAAATTGATAAAATCAAGCACTTTAAACGTTATTGGCAGGATGCGGGCCAGATTACAGCGGTTTTTCTCTGGGTATACTTAAAACTTGGCTCATCCAGGTAGGTGCCTCCATGACAATTGAAACGCAGACCGCATTAAACGCGCGCCCGGGCGGCCGGCTAGATACTCTTCGCTCGGGTGGGGGGAGGGGAGTCGATTTCACCCCTCGGAGATCTAGAGAACTATGAAAGCTAGAGACACCCAATTCACAGGGTATGTTGACCTGTACGTAAACACACTTAGGTCAAAGTTTGAGGTTCGTAGCTTATGACCTTCGGGTCAAATAAGGTCAAATAAGGTAAAATTCCAGGCTGGTCTCCAAAGTGCCCCCAGAACCTAGATAACTGTTTCTAAGCAAAAGGTCGCATGCACATTTGAGGTCAGTGACCTTGTTTGACCTTTCGAAGGTTATGGTGACCAAAGTCATACATGACTGCTCTGAGTTTTGCATTTGAATAAGCGACAAAGTTTACGCAGACAGTATGCTCCTAAAAACCAAACGTTGACCTGGGTCATTTTAGGTCCATGACCTATTCTGACCTCTAAGAAGTCCATGAAACATGTAGAATGCGGTTCCTGCTATCAATAAATTCGAAATGAGCACCAGAAGCTATCCCATACAGCAAGCCCCGAGTAATAAAACGGGTTGGTCTTGACCTTGGTCTGACCTTCATACCTGACCTTAAGTCAATGCAATTTGCTCATTCAATTGTTGTGTTGTCTAAGAAAACATTTCAGAGATGTATGGCTTCGTCTAACGCTCCGTTGTTGCATCAGATTGAACAGTTCTCTAGAAAGTGACTTCGCTGAAATCATGGCCTAACTTTGACCTGCCATAGGTCAGCAACCTTACAAGGTACATCTAATTTTTCCACCAGAACATCCAATATTCAACTGTATACAGATACAAAAAATTTGGAGCGGCTACGCCGTGCCGTTCGGAAACCATTTGGAAAAAACCTTCGGGCGGGTCAATTTGACCCTCCCCACCCGAGCGCGTGTAACTCAACACACCACCGACATGAATGACACGCAATAGGTAAGGCAAACACTGAATATCTCGCAGCACATCCAGCTTGGTTCGAGGGATTTGTGCAAAGCCATCAGCGGCTCTGTGTCAGCGCCTTTCATGGAAACAGATCCCGATGCAGAGTAGGTACATATTACATTCGTTTTACCCAAACAGGTCGGGCTGATTATTTGGCTGACGGCGACTTATTTCTGGAGACCGACACGCGCTAAAATCTCCGATGTCTTCTCCGACGCCACGTGGGATTATCACGAAGGCGACGCCTGCTGGGGAAATATCTTTACAACACCCGAATGAGACGTCCGCAGCTGAGACGACCTCGCCTGGTACAGCGCTCCACCACATTGCCCCGCGCGACCGACATCACGCACAATCAGATGGTATCTCGCCGCTTTCCCAATTCCTCCGAAAACCGAACGGACGAGCGACCAAATCCGGCCCCAGCAACGATGATATGCCACATCAGCGCCGAACCAGAACAGCGTCCGCTGGCAGCACACAAACTCCTCGTCAACTCGCGCTGCACACCCCATCAAACACGTCACTGCAGAACATTCCGCACGTCGAGCGTCACTCGGCACCCGGCCTCGCCGCCAGAGGGCACCACCAGCCGGCGTCCGCTACACATCGCTGCTCTTTGAGCCATGCACACGCGACACCTTGCCACTCTCGTCCAGTTTAAAGTTGTTGTTCTGGCTCGGGGCGGTTGACGGCGCCGCCTCCGTTCGCGGCGCGTGCACGTCCGCCGACACGTCGCACGCGCGGTCGGCGTCGACGCCGTCGGCGCAGCCGGGGGAGCGCGCGCCATCAGCGCCGGCCGCCGGCGCCGGCGCCGCCTGCATGTGCGCCTCATTGACGCTGATGAAGGGCACGCGCACGCTCACGGCGCCGCCGACGCCGGAGAGCAGCAGCTTCACCTTCACGTAATAGGAGACATGCACGGCAAAGCTGTTCCAGTCGACGTCGCTGTCGACGACGGAGGGCGAAAGGCGGCCGCCCTTCTCAGGGCTGTCCTCTAGCGCGATCCAGTTCTTGAAGGAGCCGACGCGCGGCTGCAGTGAAAAGTCCTTGACGTACGCGGCGTCGGTGACAATCGGGCAACCATCCTGCGTCTCCACCAAGGCCACCACCGACTTAAACTTGCCAGACTTAAACATAGCCACGTCCACCGCCTGCACCACCTCGGCCTGGGGCAGGGTCGCGCTAGGTCAACAAAGCTTGCACGGTGTGCCTGAACCGTATGGACGACAGGAACGCAGGGATGAGGGCGCAGGGCAGCTGCTCTCCCCTGCCTAACCCCGGTAACATTTAACATAAATTATATGGTGGGTCATGAGAAGAAACGAGCTAAATATCACGAGAAGGGGACAATTTGGCAATCTGGTGGCTTCTGGGTGGACCAGACCCTTCGGTGTCCTCGCCTGAGGGACGCCACCAAAAGGCTTCTTAGGTTAACAGCCCACGTTTGCTAGACTCTAACAAGTCACGGAAAGTCACTAGTTTAGCCTCGGTAGCAAGTCAGCAAGGGCATGGGCGTAAACATAGCGGACAGGGGTGGGCACAGGAGATCACATCGCCGACTTTTGACAGTGTTTGTAATAATCTGATGATGATAATGTTAATGATGAATATGTCAATACATGACAAAAAATCATCTTCAAAACTCGCACTGCCCCATGCCTCACACACACACACACACACACACACACACACACACACACACACACCACACACACACACACACACACACACACACACACACACACACACACACACACACACACACACACACACACACACACACACACACCACACACACACACACACACACACACACACACACACACACACACACACACACACACACACACACACACACACACCACACACACACACCACACACACACACACACACACACACACACACACACACACACACACACCACACACACACACACACACACACACACACACACACACACACACACACACACACACACACACACACACACACACACACACACACACACACACACAAACACACACACACACACACACACACACACACACACACACACACACACACACACACACACACACACACACACACACACACACACACACACACACACACACACACACACACACACACACACACACACACACACACACATACACACACACACACACACACACACACACACACACACATACACACACACACACACACAAACACTTTCTGGGATACTCCTACACCTATGATAAATGATTTTAATTCCTGACATCCGTTGAGTGACGGCATCGTGCCGACTCGGCCGTCCATCGCACAACAACCGACACGCTCCACGAGTCTGGACGCAACGACAACTGACACGCACCACGAGTCTCGACGCAACAACTGACACGCGCCACAAGTCTGGACGCAACAACAACTGACACGCGTCACGAGTCTGGACGAGTGTAATGGTGTTTTTCACCCGACTGCATGCGGCAAGATAGAATATGAAAAGTGGTCGACGATAATCAAAGCCATTGCGCGGCCCGGCAACAGAGGCTGCTCTACTTCACGGAGCGATTCGAGAGCAGATCCGGTAACCATCCGAGAACAAACTGCAGCCCCAACGATCCGAAAACGAACTGCAGCCCCCAACAAATCCCCGTGTGTTGTCAAGGTCAGAACAAACATGTGGGTGACTGACATGCATAGCACATAAGATTTGGCTGCGCGGGTCACCTCACGTAGGGTCAAACCAAGGCCCAGATGTGTGACTGGGCGTGCGTGATATTGCGCCACGCCGTGCCAAACTCGAAATACCATTTAGGGACAGGTTGCTGCTCATTAGCTTCGCTTTGTCTTTCTGCCAGTTTTGATTACATTGGTTCTTACTCTTTGAGCTTTGTAGGTAAGAGCCAACAAGCCCTCCAGTTCATGGATAGTGATATTTAAGAGGGAGGGTAGTGAAATACAAGAGCCAACAAGCCCTCCACTTAATCAAGTGATAATTCCTGATTATTAACGGTATATTTTATACCACGCAACAGAAGCTATTACCCGTCATTAGAACACTGAGTAGAGCTTCTTTATAACGAATGTTATTTATGCTTATATTACAGTGACGCGCTTGTTCTCCACGTCAGTATAGATGGCTGCGGTTCCAGAGCACTTCTGCTGATTTCCCGGAACGCAGTCGCGATGGCTCATGCAGCCTAAACTCACATTTGGCTGCGCAGTCACCGATCAGAGCATACAGTGATATCAAACACCGTCACCGTCAGCACATTTACCCCGCGCACTCCCTACCCTTCAACTACAGCTGCGTCCCCGCATCAGCATCACAATTTCTCCGAATCCCGAAGCTCCAGTGCGGTCCACCCACCTTGATCTTGCGTACGGTCCTCTTGCAGCCGTTGTTGACCACCACGCGGAAGCAGACGCTGTCGGTCTGGGTGAACACCTCGCGCTGCAGCGATACTTCCAGGTGCACCTTACCGCCGCTCAGCAGAAATTGCTTGAAGACTGAGTTCCGCGGCGTCAGCCCGGAAGCAGGCGGCGGCTTCTGGCACAGGCGCACCGTCATGCGCACCGAAGCGCGTCGCAGCGGCTTCTCTGACGGCGTTTTCCCTGTGACGGCACGTGGCGTTACAGCTACCTGTCGGGGAAGGTAGGCTGGGACTGGCGCAACTTTTTAAAGACGCATAGTAATAGCAAGGGTAAAAAGTGTCGTTTCTGTCATCGACGGAACATGGCCTAAAATAATGGTCTTTCGCCGTCTATAGCTTCAGATGAAATACATCACAAAAACAAAGGCAAATGAAATGCATTGCGGCATAACTATTAAACATTTTCGTTACGAGAGTTCATATGCACTGAAGTATCATTTGTTGATCATCATACACTGAATGATGGCTGAGACATAAGTGACAAAATTACCATATAAAGGCATACTTAACATAAACACCCCAGAAGCGCCTGGTTTCCTATTCAGTTGGGAGGGGCGGGGGGGCATTGTGCCTCCAAAATAGGGATATAGCTTCCTCCTTTTAGTGCCTTTTTTTGTCCATCATTTTTCATTAATCGTAATTTTTTAAGGTTCAGCCCCCAGGCTTATTCTGAGGAGCTACACCCGTGCTTTGAACTCTGAAAAGCAATTGGGTCAAATCTGGGGACAAGCCTGTTTTAAATGTATTTCGGAGGCAGTCTCAACCATTTTTTTTCTCTCTGCACTCCCCTCTCTCATCACTGTATATTTTGAAAAACTGCACCCCTTTACCCCTCTATTTACCGACAACGCAGTTCTACACGCATCTGAAAACAACATCACTTTTTGTTTTGTGACACCACCGTACAATCAGCTGAAGGCATTGGCGACTTTCACTATCTTCGCAGAGTCATTACCGGTGCGGAACGCGCACTTTCTAACATGATCTCAATGAATTAGTGCTAAGCCCATGCAATTTTGGTATCAGCAGATGCAAACAAATTATTGGGCATCTCAGTTACCTCTATTTAACTCTATTTGCAATGTGATGATAATCAAAAGCGTTTATCCCACGCCTGTCTACCGGTTAGACGGCTAAGTCTGAGGTGCGGCGGGCAGTGTGAGAAGCCTACACCAACGATGCTTGGCATCTTACCTCAAAGCCACTGTTCTTCTCAGCAGCAGAAAGCTTCAGATGAATCCTTAGCATATGTCGCTCAAACGTCCTCCGTTGACCTCTGAGGCTCTAGCTCGGGTATCCACAAACAACAAGCCTCCTAGTTCGGCAGAGGTTTTTAACACTTTTACCCGGGCTGCCCCCCCCCCCCCCCCCATGGCAGATCTTTAGAAAGCCGCCCAGCGCCTTACAAACTGATGATTGGCTACGTTTTTTTTTCAAGGCAGTCAGCCTCCACAACATGAACTCAACTAACGGCAGCCCGCATTTTTGTAATGAACCTAATTCATTACGGCATGGCGAGAATTCGAGCCCATCTGTCTCAAATGGCACAACGGTTTAAAACAGCCGCATAGTATGATCACATTCGACACAGAATGATGTGGCCGTCATGCTTCCTACCACTAGTAATAAGCCTAGTTATTTGGTATTTCATACTGCTTAGCATGTGAAGTGAGTCTTGACTGAAAAAAATACATGAAAAGCCCTGATCTGAGGAGCATTGGAAACACTGTGTCACCACGGACCTGTGACGCCAGCACTGATGTAGTATGTTTTGAAGTATATTCCTGTTACCTGCTAAAAACTATCCTGGTTAGAGATACTATGTTTGGAAGCATCATGCGGCTATACTTGATCCTACCTCGAAACGTCAACGTTTCGACATGAGCTTTCCACAAGCTCACGATGCTAGCGTTATTGCGTAAAGGCCAATATTAAGCCTTGTGTTTCGTCTAGCTGGGTTGGTCTGTTGTAATATCGTCTGAGATGTAGTGATTTGTTTCCATTTTTGTAATTTTGTCACCAACTGGCTCATAAAAGTGTCCGTTTTTGTCTCCTGTCATAACCGGTAAATCACAAACTTTTTTTAAAGTTTCTGCCCCTGGTGGTAGGCTCAGGCATGGTTACATTTTCCACGGGGTCACAACATCGCCTAACCAATGGCGGCGTTATTGTTTTGGTCCCCCTTCCCAGCATTCATTCGTTGTTAATTTGGGGAGCTTTCTAACAATACGTGTGCTGTAGTGCCTGACCTGCAAAAAAGTGAACCTCGTAAGAGGTGCCTAGCGGCGCGCCGGTATACGACTTGGCCGGGTACAGCGAGACGGAGGGCGGCGCGCAGGACGACACCTGGAACTGGAACGCGTGCGCCACCCCGCAGGCGGACAGGTGTCTCTCGATCGTCTCCTGGAACCAACGGCGGGGCGGTCAACAGCGGCACCATCTCATCGCCGCTGGTGCCTGGAACCAACGGCGGGGCGGTCAACAGCGGCACCATCTCACCGCCGCTGGTGCCTGGAACCAACGGCGGGGCGGTCAACAGCTGCACCATCTCACCGCCGCTGGTGCCTGGAACCAACGGCGGGGGCGGTCAACAGCTGCACCATCTCACCGCTGCTGGTGGGAGCGTGCGTAAACTTGTTCGGCGCTTACGGGAATTAACTGCAGCCTATCAATTCATGGTATAAGCAAACTGATAATCTGCCGCTAATGCCCGTAACCTAAGCTGACCTAAGCTACTTCAACTTTGCCTTATAAACGTGGAAGCTTATGAGGTAAGTTGAAAAGTTGCGAGACGGAGAGAGCCAAAGCTGAATACGAGCGTCAGCTGATCAGTGGCACATTTGCCCTATTATGTTCGTTCTTGCTTTATCCTGAAAGCTTGCAACACCCAGCAATCCATGGGAGGCTACACGCTCCAGCTGTGGGTGAGTTGAAGTGCCCCCTAGTGGGGGTCCCGTTCGAGCGCCGAGTCCCCTCCCACACATGAGTTGAGGGGTTTATGTTCGGCAAATGAACCCCAGATAGTGTAGATCTGCCCCCCCCCCCCCGTTATTAACTCTCCCTCATCCCATGGCCCAGAAATGGTCATGGCTGGCCTTATCCAAGTAGTCAAACCATTCAATTGCAAGAGGGCAATCAGAATGGCTGCGGACCTCGACCAAGACCAAGAGTCCAGCGCTGATTCCGAGTTCATCAGTTTCACTGACAACTACTTCATTCGTTCCACAGTACAGACATATGACTTGGACGGTGTGTCCCAACCATGTTATATCGATTCCCAGCCTTAGTCCGCTAGCTACAACTCCTCGTGTTGCAATGAAAGTCGCTCTGGTTGAAAAGTTGAACAGCGTCTGCAGTGGCGAACAGTGAAGGCGGAGACGAATCAGCCACGGAAATTATTGAAAGAAATACATTGGCACGGGCTCTAGATAATCAGTCACGGATATGGCATTTTCACACGGAGAAGTACGGAGTAGTAACGGAGGAGCAGAGTGCAATAGTGAGTGGCATTAGCAGTAGCAGTAGAAATGAGTAGTAACTAAATGGTAGCAGCCAGGATCAGAAAAGGTACATACCTTCAGCGGCTTCAAAAGGAACACTTATAGGGCTACTCTAGGAGTAGTAGGCGACAAGGGTCATATATTTACAGAAGGTCAGGTGAATGATGCCCCCCAAAAATAAATGGAAAATATGCTCATTCATATCAGACATTTCGATTAAATGCTGGTGATGTATGGTACATGCATTTTGAAGGACATCATAGGCAATACTTCCGTTTCTGAACCATGAATAGCGTCCTTGAATGCTAGCCACCATGATCCATTATCTTGTAAGGAATCCTGACGAAGGACGAGTTTAAGCACTTACTTGCTGAAACACATTAAATGAACGTGTTGTGAATCGTCCGCTATTCTTATGGCAACGACCTCAATAATCACCTCACTGCCTAAGTGCTTGTGCGCAGGATGTGACGTTATGTTTGCATTGTTTGAACGGAGTATTACGTGATTGTAGCATTATCTATGACGTGTACTTGACATAAGCCACTTCCGAAAATGCCTGGTAAAATCAATCAAATGATGCACCTGGAAAATATGGCAACACGTGAATTGAAACACGAGCGCTAACTTATTGATGGTGTATGTGCGACAACTAAGTAGCCACAGGCTGTAATAAAATTATCAAACTGTCATTCTATCATACAGCTCATCATGCGTGAGCCTGAAGAGGCCTGGCCACATAGCTGACAGAGAAGACCCCACCCTGTTTCAGCAGTGAGCACACTGCGCAATGTTATCGCCATCCTCTCGCCATCCGCGAGATCGTGCAGCGGCCGGGGGCCTGGCGACGGCCCCCGCCTGCCTGCCCTGGAGGGCCCCTGCGTCCCTCTGCGGCCGTCGCTGACGGCCTCTCGTCCCGTCCGTCACCGGCGTGCGTCGGACTGGCGGCCCGACCTGCATCAGACCGCCCGTCGCCCCGATCGCTGCGCGGCTGACGGCGTGAGGGATGGGCTGACGTGAGGCGCGTCCGTCGTAACGCTCTGCGCGGCTGACGGCGTGAGGGATGGGCTGACGTGAGGCGCGTCCGTCGTAACGCTCTGCGCGACGGTTGTCCGGAGACTCTGAGTGAAGACGTCGCCGTGATTAAGGAGGCGGCGGGTGGCTTACGTTCTGTGATAGCCGCCAGGGAGGGGGAGGGAGGGAGGGGGGCGGGGGCGGAGGGCAGATGGCAATCGGAGACGGAGACAAAATGGCTTAGCCGCGGGCAGCAATGACGGTTGGTTGGGAAATCTGCGGTGCTCCATTCTGAAAGCATGCAATATGGGACAGTGGAGGTGTCGTGCAGCAGCGGCCCCATCCATCTGTGACGTGCAGGGACGAGTGTTTGGGCGTTGTTGTTGTTGCTCCGACCAGCCTCTTGCCAGCTGTGTCTACATCGCCCAGCTGGCACACCGCTGCTTCGAGTCATGCACCCGTTGGAAAACACGTAACGTGTAAGCCCGCCTGCATACACACTCCAGTGCGTCCTCAGAGGAGCGTATTTACAGAAAGCCGCGCCGTTCATGCCACGGATTTAATCGGATTCATTTCAATGGTCGGAGCTACTCTGGCACGCTGGAATCTCTGTCAGGAGTGATGGCGCTCAGGAAACCTTAACGTGAGAAAACGCCGCGTCAGCCTGTCTTTGCATCCAGCCTGTGAGTCAATGTCTTTGCTATATACTGTAGCAGCAGCGCAGTTTCGCAAAATGACTTGGAGGACTGAGCAGTGAAAAATAACGCAACACTAGCCCAAAAGGCGCCAACAAACGAGCTTCTCTCGGGATTTGGCCCACTTTCCTCACATAACTTGGGGGCTAGAGCTGCTCCTCCCCCAACTGATAATAGAACTAGACCCCGACACAGCGGAAGGAGGGGATGATGTCCGCATGCACTCAGGCGGGCCGGAAGCTGTCGAGAGTTTAGTGTGCAGACGGCAAGATAACCAGCTTCAGTGATGTCCAGCTGCCGCCAAAAGTGCAAGCATGCAGGATCTTCCGCAAAGAGACCGAAGGAGAGGTATGCGACCGTAAAACTTCCGTGACGTTTATTGTTATGGCTGAAAATCCATAAGCCGATAATCGACTTCGTCAAGACAAGAAAACTTCTGCAGCACACCGAAGTTTTTTAACGCAAGCGGCGTCAGCCACCGCTTTACAGTGTTTCAAGGTGTGGTGATTTCCATTTCCAACGCGCTCCGATCATTTCAGGGGGAGGCAAGTTCGAAAACCAGCGCGTTCGGACTATTATCGCCGAACGACTTCAGAAGGGAACGAGCGGCGGGAGCTGGTGAGGAAGGTAGAAGTGGCCTGACCCGGAGCGGGACCGGCTAGTGACTAAGCCGCCGGTAAGTTTGTTCAAAATGAAGTACCAGCAAGCAATGAGTGCATCTAAATAAGGCAGGCCTCGAGATGATCGTATCCATACAAAGTCGTGGGATTTTCATATGATCTGAGTATGCATTGATTGATAGTGTAGCCGTCGGGTGAGCCTGACTGCGCAAGATCGATAAAACGTCAGTGCAAACCACGTACAAAACTGCATCATATGGACTGCTTGCCGTGATTCATTAGCAGTAAAAGGTTTTGCCCACGGGCACTGCTTTGCAGAATCAGCTGGATCGGATGTTAGCCCATCAGTTCATTATGAATGGCATAGTAACGCCTTGTTTACAAGTTACCGCACAATGGTTTGGCATATTTGTGTGCCCAATTAACAACCAGAAATATTACGCACGCAAGCACGCACACACATACACACACACATACACACACACACACCACACACACACACACACACACACACACACACACACACACACACACGCACACACACCTCACACACACACACATACACACACACACACACACACACACACACACACACACCACACACACACACACCACACCACACAACACACACACACACACGCACACACACACCCACACACCACACACACACACACACACACACACACACACACACACACACACCACACACACACACACACACACACACACACACCACACACACACACACCACACACACACACACACACACACACACACACACACACACACACACACACACACACACACACACACACACACACACACACACACACACACACACACACACACACACACACACACACACACACACACACACACACAAGGATCGGCTCCCTAAGCTCAGAATAGCATACCATACTCTGGTGTGAAACAACAATCTTTCCAATAAAATCAGGACATAAAAGGGGAGTATGCAGTTAAGTCAGTTTAAAACAAATTAGGGCTTGGCGCTCCACCGGAGGCTGGGAGTCAGTCCCGGACACAAAACAAAACCTAACCAGGACTTGCTGCTGGTTTTTATACTATTTGTCTTATATTATCCCAACCTTGTCAAGAAAACCCCTACTGGGCGGATGATGCTGCGACCACGGTGTCGTAGTGGATCCTGGTCTTAAAACACCGATAACGTCCCACGTGTTTCACAGACACATACGCTAGACATGGAAACGAACCTGCACATACACTTCATCACAGACGAGACGTTTGTACCTTTAATTGCAAACGACATCCCAAAATGCCTTGATTTCCAACAAAATATGATACATATTTCTGAGAGCGGTCAGAAACTGAAGCAGGAGTGCATATCATGCACCAACTGCACAGATAAGTGCAGCATGACGCGCAACGTCCGATGGAAGATATCATACACCAGTCTTTTTTTAGGGTGGGCTCCGTGAGATGGTATAACCCGTCATAGAACAAGACGCCAGCAACACCACAATCGCCGGCTGGAAAGATGCATGCACCAACTATTTTTGTGGCTGGCATATTTTGCTTACGTCAGCTAGCTGCCTTGAAGATAAGTCACAGCCGTTTCCAAAAAAGGCGTGCACCCGAGTGTGTCTGGGTGTCCAAAAATAGGCACAAAGCCACGTGGAAAACATGGCTACACATTCAGCCGTGCTCAGTGCAGCTCTGCACACATTAGCATTTTGAACAGATGACGACAACGGAGAATGACAGAGATATCATGCAGACCTGCAACGCTGATCTGGGAGCGGAGTCCGGCCCGGACTCCTTCATCGGATGCAGCTGCATCGTCTGCAAGATGATGACGTTGGAGAACGTCAGCCCCATCACCTGAAAGTCGACAAGCATTTTCGTCACGCCATTACATTCGTGCGTGTGTGAAACACACTGGTTCAGAACTCAGTAAGTGGACATCAACTATCACTTTCGAAAAGCGAAACATGTCGCAGGCATTGCATCCTTGTCAAGAATGGTGATGTAACCCTGCCAAGTAACACTTTAATGATCAATCTATGTCGTCTTGAATTTCACACAATTCTCATTTTTCACCCAAGCATGCTCGATTATTTGGAAACCAATTGGCTGGGGGTGGGGGCACGGTGAAGTTCGGCATGTACCTCTGCCTATCGCCCTTGTCTTCTGTTGTGTCATATCGGTTCATGTTCAGATCAGTATCATGCCAGGTGTAAGGGTCAGATGAAAGCATTTTCTTTAAGGTGAAAATACGGAAGCTGCTTTGACACTTGAGCACTCTTGCTTAGCCTGCCCTAGCGGTAGGTATACGTATGCAACAGATTGACATAAGATAGCTGGGTAGATAGCTCAATATACTCTTGATGATGAAAATGCATAGTCTATATTTTAAAACATAATTCCGTCTGTTCGTCATCAAGCATGCATTAATTATATATGCCAGCCTGTGCTAGTGCTCTACAGAAGGACGGGACTGCATCAACGCGGTAGAACAGAGCACCACTGTCGTCACCCAGACTTTACCGACAACTGCCAGGAAATGTTAGACCGCACCGAACGCACCAAGAACCGGTGGCAGCTAAGCGATACCGGCTCAAGACCGTCACTCATCCATCTCAGATATTGTCGGCACGGGCCAGTGAGAGAAATCAGGAGACATGGCATCCCCGATACTTTGTGACTGCCTGGCTGAAGCGCTCAAACTCAACAGGACCACACAGCTCGGCATACACAGAAGCTGAGGCAAGACATCGTGGCTTCTGCCGTCCAGCATACCCTGTGGCAAAACATTCATCCCGTCCCTCTTGGCGCACCAGTTCATCACTAATTCCAGAAGCATGGTATCCCTATGTATGAAGGTCGCAGCAGACGGCGATACAACGGTCTACCTCGCCTGAACTTATCAGCGACCATCCACTTGCTTCAGTGCTATTTTTTTTAGCAGAACTGCCCAACAATGACACATGCCTTCTAAGTGACAAGTCAAGAAGGCATGCATCGTGGGTTCAATACATTGCTTTGTGGTCAGTAGTAACTTACGGTTTTGATAATCGGCGAAAATGTTGCAAAGACAAATATTTTTGGGTCCATCGTTGCCACAATGACGTGAGCTATGCGCCAACGAAAAGTTTTTCGGTTCTGGCCACATCCCATAGTTTGTTATGCCACTTTTGGTCTTCGAAAAAAGGTGATAGAGGCTTCTGCTCGATCCATTACTGGCGCATCTGGCGCACCACAATTTGATAATTGTATTTTCTCCATGAGAAATCAGTGCGCAGGCAGCAATGTCCGAACACCGCGGGAGTCTGACCAAACGATTTTGATCGAAATGTCTTCAAAATATTACAATAAGGCTTTTTATGACCACAATGCTATGGCTGACAACTTACTGGTGTTACGTTCAGTGGTGGCGCTGACATTGGCCGCCAACAGCGTGACTGCCCTAGCTGCGGTTCCTCCTGGGCTGCAGTTTTCAAAAGTTGGCGCCATCACTCGCTCGGACTTGACTCGGACTCGAATTCCGATCCGGACTCGGACTCGGACTCGGACTCGGACTCGGACTCGGACTCAGACTCGGACTTGCACTCAGGCCCGGATTCGGACTTGATGCTAAGACTCACTAGGCTTGTGGTCTACTTCGTTATATCTGGGCTCTTTTTTGTGGCAGCAATGCAAATTTTGGCATGCTGATTGTCGGATAAATTTCGTTGTAGCACATATGGATGGCATGGCTGGCGTGAGTGGCAGTCACGCCGTCTTTTTCGAAAATGGGCTCAACGTTACCATCTTTTCAGTGAAACTTGCTGGTTTGAGCAGGTTGGCCGCTGCAGCTTTTCTTGCGTTTTCAGTTCGTGCTACTACCGCTTTTCAGCTAATAATCTCAAGTTAAAGTAACAGCAACAGGCAGTAAAGTGCATCGTTCAATGCCTCTGGGCATTACAAGTATGTCGGTTTTATGTAGATAAGCTGGAATGCGAGCAACTTTTGAAATGAGCGGCTCAGTTAACTGACTGAATATGTTTGTTGCAGAGGGAGAAAGTATTCTACACATACAGGGGGGACACCGCCGTCCTGCTGTGGTCATGTGCAAAGACATGTTCACCGAAAAAAACAGCGTCCTGTAGAAAATGACGTATCGATTCCCATCTCACCCACTTCCAGCTGTCTCCATGCTCCGAAAGGATGCCAACTGATCCAGATAACTGTCGTGATGAATCTTCTTCAGAACTGCGCGCATGCCAAGCACCCGTTTGTGGCGCGACTTACGAGTCCATAGTCAGTGGAGATACGGAGCGCCCGTCCTTAACGTCAACAGGTGGCACTTTCACAACCACAAATCCTAACAACAGGTTCCGCTTTTCTCTCTAGGAGGCCCTCTCACCGCTATCGTGCATTGCACATCTCCTGTACCTCTCTAGGTTTCCGCACCATATGCCCGGCAGCTGTTTATCGTCACCCGCCGGTGCAACGCGGAGAGAGTGTGACGCTTCCTGCATTCAAGTGTGACGTAGGCTTCTCTCGCCCGTTTTGTGGCCAGCAAAGCAGACTCCTCCCTTCCTGCTAGTCAGACCCAGCACGCCCCAGCTCGACCCAGCTCGCCTCGTCGTACACCAGGTCTGAAAGGCATTGGTTCTGGCGACCGCTAGGTTTTCCACGTAGGCATTCTTAGTTTCCCGCGTCAGTTAATTATCAGCTTATTGAAACTCATTTGAGGGTCTCCACGAGCTCCTCAGTGGCATTACAAGAAAAGTGTCTTGGGGAAAGCGAGGAGCGCCTGGTTCGTCCTAGTAACACGTCGCAATTGACACAAAACAATCTTGGAATTAAAAAGCTGCAGATAGAGCGATGACATACCTGTGCATGGCGGTGTTTTGTGTTCACAGCAACCGAGTAAAATAAGGATGTTTATCACTTCCCTTGTCGTGATGGGGGCGTGACGTCACCAGGCCGGGGGTTTCATTGCATCCCATTGTCGGTGCCCTGTGCTTGTCTAAGAGGAAACATTTCAGTTGGAATCACTCAGATGACGAACAAACAATCATGCCACTGCAAACGCAGCTTTTTTTATTTTTGTGTTGTTCCCAAGCAGCTGCTTTGAAGCAATAACAAGGCCGTCACGCATCTACTTTGCCTCGCCAGCGCATACATCGCTTCGGATTGGCGAGCTGTGTACGGTCTCTCGGCCGCTGAAGGCTTCCTCAGCTGCAGCGGCAGCTGTGCTCGCCTCCCAGCACCTGTCGCCTGCTGACATTTACACGGGCGCGCCCTGTTCCATATCGGCGTGGCATTTCCCTGCCTTCGCCTCAGATTCTTGACCCGCCCTGGTTTTGCGCGGACTAAATGGGGATGGAAAAGAGCGTTCGCTTGGCGTTCGTTCGCCATTTATTTGTACTTCACAGCTCTACCTGCAAGTGTAAGTGCAATCCCCTCGTTCTGGGTCAACGCATGTCAGTCAGCGGCACGTGACCAGTAGCGTCGACGTCGCCACCGGCCAATGATGCGTCAGCGCGCCTCTCATAGACGTGTTTCGCATGTGTCATGGCATCCACGCGGTTCAATGACCTGGCCTGGCCTCAAACGTAGATGTGAAAGGTCAGAACGCATTGTACGTGATCACGCGGCAATTCATCAGTGGATGCGCGTTACCAGGAGTCATAAGTATTGCTTCAGTAAAAGTGTAGCAAATGACGAAATCATCACGTATTTGGTTAGACTGGTAACAAAACGCGCAACATGTGCAGTAACTAGGGGAAGACATAGCGTTAAGCAACAACGGATTGGAACGTTTGAATGCTGATAAAGACGCCCTTGCGGATGTTCAGCATTTCCGTTCTGGTCCGTTTTCTTTAATATTTCGATTGCCCAAAACTCTGCCAGCGAGCACGTGGGCATCCCAAATTGAGCAAAAGGGCCCACCGCACCCCACCTCCAAACCGCATCCAAGACGGGGCGGTTTGTTCGGGCTGGTCGGCTCCCCGCACAGGATGTCTGCGCGCCCTTGCTGAACCCGTCCGTTGGACCGTGAAGGTCAGACAGATGCAGATCGAGATGAGAGTCGTCACCAAACCTGTACCTTTCACGCTCGGCTGGACCGCGGCGTCATTCATCCTCACCACCGCCGAATCCAATCCAATCAGGTGGTAAGGACGCGCACCGTCACTGGACGACGGCCAGCCGGCTGCTCTCCGCCTCAGACCGCTGATCGGCCGTTAGAGCTACCCCGGACGGACCCCGCTATACACGCGCAGAAGGGAGCAGTCCTCGGGCAGCTACAGAAGGCGGCTGTTCCCCTTGCATTCGCGATCCTGGCTCCAGTGGGTCAGGCAGCACGACAGGAGCTCTTGTACTACTCCGAACACAATAGAGAGTCGGTCGAGAGGCCCTGTTCAGCGAGGCTTAAGGGATGGGCCATATACCGATTTACTAACCGCCGTGCAGATAACCTTCGCCCGGCTCGGCTGCAGGTGTGCACTCGTCTCGCTGGGGTAGGCCTCACATGGACCGCATCGACCACTAAGGCTCAGCTGACATTTCAGCTAATAAGCTGCTTTGAGCTCCGTGTCGCTGCTGACAATGCGTCACATGCACCAGTGCAGACAACAATTTGTGTTGGTCACGGTGCTTACCAATACGACCATGAGCTGTGCATGATTTGGATACACATTGTGGTCACAAAGGTGGGTTTTTTTACTTGTGAATTTTTTGCATTTTATTTATGGAGGGGTGGCTAAAGCAGGCCAATTTTTCTGCGCTATGGGTGCTTTTGACTTTAAGGAAACGTTCCAAGTTTCAACATATTGAAGCAATGATCAGATATG